CCCGCGAAGGAGGGAGGAGAGCGAGCCCCGCGGCCAGGGCGTCCCGTCACGGTGACCTGTTCGCTCGTCCGGACGCAGGCGGCAGACGATCCCGACCGGGTTTCTCCGGCCTGACCCCCACCCCTTCCCTGCAGTCCGTCCGGGCAGTCAGAACCTGCGCGGTAGCCCCTCATCCCACAGGCAGAAGCATTGAGTTGTGGGTTTTAAAGCAATGTCAGCTTCACTTTTCATGTTTTTTTTTTTTTTTCCTTTTTTGATCTTCGATTTGTTGTGGGAAACCCCGTGAGGAAAGGCCTGCCTGTTCGCCGGCTGAGCATGGAGCGGCTCTGGGAAGATATGGAGCCAGGGCGAGAAGGTCAGGGCCTCCGGGCACAGGCATCTTCTCTCAGGAGGTTAGGGAGAGGGGGACACAGCTGTGCTCTCTGCCCACGACTGGGGCACAGAGATCAAGTGCCCGCCTGTGACCCTAGCACCGTGGGAGGCTGAGGCAGGAGGATCAAAATTCCAGCCCAGCCTGGGCAACTCAGTGACTTAGCAAGAGCTTGTCTTGAAATAAAAAATAAAAGTGGGCTAGGGGTGGATGGACGGACGAGGGTTGGGGTGCAGAAGAACAGGGTACACCGGAGGCCCCCAGGCCTGGGAGGTCAGCTGGAGACCATGAGCAGAGGAGAGGAGAGGACCCTGGAGGCTCGGGAGCGTGAGGAAGGGGTGCTGGGCCTGGATGCAGCTGCCCAGGGGCCCTGGCCGGCTGGGTCTTCTGGGCCTGGAGACGCCCGGTTCCTGGGGTAGGCAAGAATGATGATCAATAAAGCAGAAATGGGCAGAGCCTCCGTGTCCATACAAGGAAAACCTAGAACACAGACACGTTATTCATCCAGCAGGAATAAGCGTGATTTAATGGGATCCATACGTCACATTTCTATCACGAGAAGTTCCAGATGTGCTGCCACCGCTGTCCGCTGTTTGGTTCTGGGCCCCTCCTCTGCTCTTTGGCCCCAGGGACCGTTGCCCGTTTGCTTTTCCTTCTTTGCAGGAGTATTTTAAAGCTAATTTCATTTTTTTATCAGTACATGTTTGTAGCCCATGACAGTTTCATTCCTTGTGCGGAGCCGGTGCGTGGCCTCAGCACATCTCAGTTTCTTTCCTTTCCCCGCCTTCCCCTCATCTCTTGGTTCCAGTCTCGTTTGCAAAAGATCTGTCCCTGTGTTTCCTACCATCATCTTTTTCTTTGCTTTTTATTGATACTTAAGTCTGTCATGTTTTTAAAAACCCATGCGATATTCAAGTTTGAATGTTGGATTTATGTCACTTAACATCTCAAAATGCACCCTTTCCCTACAAATGACTCAAGCTATCCTTCTTTATGGCAGAGTAGTACTCCACTGTGTGTAAACACCACATTTCTGTTATCCGTTTGTCTGTTGATGGGCCCACAACAGCATGCAAGATTTTACTGAACATGGATGTGCATGGATCACTGTAGCACGGTGTCTTTAACTCTTACAGGTAGAATCCTTAGAAGAGGAATAGCTGGGCCAAATGGAGTTTCTATTTTTAGTGTTTTGAGGGATCTCCATATTGATTTCTGCACTGGTTGTGTTAGTCTACATTTCCCACCCACAGTGTAGTAAGGTTTCTTATTCCCTGCAGCCTCATCAGAATTTGTTATTTGACTCCTTGGTGGTGGCCATTCTTTCTGGAGTGAGGCAGAATCTCAGTGTTGGTTTTATTTGCATTTGTCGAATGGTCAGAGATGTTGAACGTTTTTCATGTATTTATTGTCCTTGTGTCCCTCTGAGAAGTGCCTGATCATTGCAGTGCCTACTTTTTAAAATTAGGTCTTCTGTTTTGAGAATCTACTTTCTTTGACCCTGAAGTATATTTCAGACCCTGGTCCTCTCTCTGAGGAAGGGTTGAGTAAAGCTTTCCTGTTCTGTTGGCGTCTCTTCACTCTGGGCGGCTTCCTTTGCAGTGCCAGAGCTTTTTGTTGATTCTTGATGTTATTTTTTGTGCAGTTGAAGTTCTGTCCAGAAGTCCTTGCCCACGCCCATGTCTCCAGGGCTTTGCAGGTTGAGCTGTACATGCCCAGGTGTGGTACTCTGTTCTTCTTTCCCCTTTGTTTTCATTACTGGGAATCGAACTCAGGACCTTGTGCTTCAAGGCAGGCAGCAGAACCACTGAGCTAAATCCCCAGCCCTGTCCTTTGTTTTCTTAACCCATTCAAAATGCTGTGTGCCTCATTCCCTTCCCTCCCTCTCCTTCCCCCTGGAATGCAAATTCTCCAAGGTCTGGGACTCCGTTTTGCCACAGCACTGTTTTTGGCACTCAGCGCAGTGTCTGGCACTCTCCCTGCCTGCTGCACCTTGTCACTGTTTGCAGAGTGACTATCTGTCAGTCCTCAGGTTCTGACTTCTGCGTCAGGGAGCCACAGGACCTTGGCACAGGAGAAGGAGGAAGAGGAGCCATCTTTGCAGCCTCCCAGGAGATGCAGAGCCTCAGGCCTGAGCAGATGCGGGGGCTGCTGGAGCCCGAGAGGTCGAAGATGCTGCTACCTCGAGAGAGCTGGGCCTGGGAGAAGCTGTCACAAGTCACCAAGGACTGGGCGGCCGTGGAGGTCGGGGCCTCCAGCTGTGATGGTGAAGAGAAAGGTGAGGGAGATGGTGCAGTCTCCACAGGGCCTAGAGAAAGCCCAGACATCCCTCCCTTCACTCCCTGAGCCGACAGGTTTCTGTGGAGCATGAGTCATCAGTGTCTGCCGTGTGACAGATCGTCCCAGGTGGCGTGGCAGCACACACCTGTGACCCCAGCACTCAGGAAGCTGAGGCAGGAAGATCTCAAATTCAAAGCCACCCTGGGCTACACAGTGAGACCCTGTCTCAAAAACAATAAAAAACAGGGCTGGGTACATAGCTCAGTGGTGCTGCACCTGCCTGGTGAGTGCAGGGTTCTGAGTTCGATCCCCAGTACCGCAAAAACAAAAACAAAACAAGAAATACAATAAATAACAGCAACAAAATCTCCGCATCACCCCACACGTGGGGCTCAGCATGGCAGCCACTGATGGCTGAGGGCTCTGTGGCCAGGGCGCTCGTCCCGTTGCCCACCCAGCCACAGTGCCGGCAGGAAGCCTTGCTCCTTGCTGCTCTGCTGGGTGCAGCCCCGGGGCTGGTGATGAACCGTGGTCCAGGTCAGGGGCGGTGTAGAGGCTGCGATTGAGGCCACGGTCGCTCTGCTGGGACCCTGGAGCTTGAACCCGAGACTGTCACACACTTCTATTGTTATTATTTCATTTTGGGACAAGTTCTCACCAAGTCACTAAAGTTTCTCAGACATGGCTCAAGCCTGCAGTCTTCCCGCCTCAGCTTCCCAGAGTACCACACCTGGGTTCAAAGTGCCTGGGGCTCTGCCGTGGTCGAGCTCAGACCCCCTGAGCAGAGCACGAGAAGAAACCAGGCCCTCCTGAATGCCCGCAGTGTGCCCAGCACACGGGAGCCAGAGGTCAGCACGGCTCTCTGGAGGAGCTCAGTCCAGGCGCGGGCTGGCTGGCTGGTGACCCCTCTGCGACAGAGGGCCGAGCGAGAGGGCAGGCGGGGCCGAGCTGTCCACCAGGTCCACCCGTTCTCAGGGTAACGCTGACTGCGGCGCAGGGCGAGGGGCGTCGAGGTGCTGGGCAGGTGGAGGACGGGGCAGGGCACACCCATGACCCCGTGTAGTCTTCCAGGCAGCTGTGGGCTCTGAATCCAGGTTTTCAGCCCTATCTGAAGCGCACAGGCCATTGTGTGTGTGTGTGCGTGTGCGAGTGTGTGAGTGTGTGCATGTGTGCGCGTGTGTGAGAGTGTGCGTGTGTGTGCGCGCGTGTGTGTGATAGCAGAGGGAGAGAGGGTGCCGGGGGAAGACAAGGTAAAGTCCCACACTCACGGTTCCTTTCTCCTTTCCCACCCAGACCTGTCTTCTCCAGAGTCTGGGTTTGCCCAGGAGTGGAGCTCAGTGGAGGAGGAAGATGAGGAGTCAGAGGATGCCCAGGTACGTGGGTTTCTCCTCCTCAGATACCTCACCTGCACCATCTCAGCGACTGTCACATAGCCCCGGTCTGGAGTCGCTCTGGCCCGTGGAAGTTCCAGGACGAATCTTGTGGGAAGCAGGATCTGTTCCTGCGGCGGCCGCGCCGAGAGGAAGGTCTCCACGTGGCGTGTGTGTAACTCCGCTCAGCCCTGACTCGTAACTGCACCCACCTGTCCGCTCACTGTTCTAGTGATTTTCAGTCCTGTTCACCATGTTTCTGTTCCACATATTTAGCTGCCCATCTCCTCCCTGTACACCACCAGCCTGTCTGTCTCCGCTGTGCCTGTGTCCATCCATTGGCCCAGCCCACCAGTTCTTCTATCTTCTGTCTTTTGACCGTGGTAAGGATGTGGCTACTTTTCGCCCTCCCTTATGTCTGCTCTCTCCTCTATCACTGTCTGCCTGTCCATCCACCCGTCCGTCTATACACCTGCCTGCTGCTTCACCCCTGCGTACACCATCCCTTCCTCCATCCGTCCGACCCATGTACCCACCCACCCATCCGTCACTAATCGTCGAGCAGGTCTTACCCAGATACTGTCAGCGAAGGAGGCAGAGTTATCGATCACATACATTTCACTCAAAGACATAATTTCTGAAGCACGAGGCATTGGTATAAGAGAAAACAGCAGTGGTTATTTTATTTATCCATTTATCTGGAGTGTCAGGAAATCACGTAACTACTTTCGGCCACACAGGAGGGCTCTGTCCCTGTCCCGATCGGATGTGGGTCGGCTCAGCCCAGAGAACGAACGGGCTCCCTGCTCCATGGGGAGGGAAAAGGGGCGAAGTGGACACCAGGAACCACAGAGCAGAGACCGTGCTGGCCCAGCGGGAGGGCTCGAGGGGCGAACTCGTGTTCAGCAGGCAGCTTTTGTCCTGAGTACCCAGTGAGGAGGAGACGCCAGGCCCGGGGTTTCAGGACCCGGGATGCCTTGCCTTCCGCCCTCCGGGCCGCGGGAAGAGCGGGTGCCCAGGCGAGGAGCGTGGTGCAGCCAGACACATGGGGGAGCTCAGAGAAAGGACAGAGCTGAGGGAGCTGCCGATAAACCCTGGCCGGGTGAGTCTTTCCTTCCCTGCACAACTACTCTGGGAGCACCAGCGGTGCGTGCAGAGGTGCAGTGGTGGACGGGACAGGACGGTTCTGTCTCCGGCAGGGTCTGGCTGAGCAGGCCGACGGTGTAAGGCGGGACGAGGGTGGGATGAGCAGGCCGACGGTGTAAGGCGGGACGAGGGTGGGAGGTTGAGGACGGCGGGCTGGCGGGGGGGGGCAGGTGATCTCCTCTGGGAGTAAAGGCCGAAGGGCGGTGAGCAAGCCTGCGGATGTGGGGCCCGGAGGGAGGGCGGCCTCGCCCCTGTGTCTCCAGGCGGCCACTACCCTCTCCTTGTTAACCCAGCCCCCTGAGAGCGCATACTTGGGTCAGCACGATTCCTTCTTCCTAGGGAGGGAAGCGGAGGCAGAGAGAACCAGAGGCCTTGGGTGGAGGCCACACGGCCAAGCCGGCATGGGGTGCGGGGTGTGGAGTGGCTCAGGGCCCTCCTGACTGTAGGGTCCCGGCAAGGCCAGGGTAGGCCTGGGCTTGGGCCTGGGGACAGGACGCTCAGTCCACTGCGGAGACCACAGAAGGCCAAGGCCGGCAGTGCCCAGGGAAGGTGCCCTCAGCACTGGGCCAGAGGCTGGGAGCCCTGGGTGCAGACGCCAACTCCAGGGAGGTGGAGAGCAGAAAGCGCCGTCCCTGCTGTGACACTCCCGGACTCGCCTGAAACGGTGGCAGTGGTGCCATCTGGTGCTGGGTCAGGTCCCTGTCTCCCCCCTGATGCGCCGTCTCGGTCATGGCCTTGGGCCCACGGCCCCACCTCCTGGTCACCAGCACATGGGTTTGGGGATGGGGAGCTCACAGACCACGGCAAGAGCAGGGCAGCGGGGGCGGAGGCCGCAGCGACATCCTCTCCGCCTTCGCTTCCTGTGTCCCTGGGTGCCTTCCAGGTCCCTCCTCCGATGACGCCCGCAGCCAGTCACTCCTGACCCTCATACCAGCCCTTGGGCCAGGACCCGTGCCCGCCGTGCGGATGGGCGAGTGAGGGCAGAGAGCAGGCTGGCTTTCTCCGTGTCACTTGCACGTGAAGGGTAGAGCTGGGGTCGGGAGGCAGTGAGCAGCTAGCACCAGCCCCGCAGCCCGGAGCTGGGGAGCGGCAGCACCCCGCCCTAGGCACCGTCACATGCCACAGGCTCTTGTGGAGAGAGGGAGCGGCTTTCCAGGGGCTCCGAAGTCCCCGCTGGGGACTCAGAAGGGAGCAGGGAGGAGAAGGAAGCCGCACCCTGGGAGGTGGAGCCTGGGATCCCCAAATCGCATCCAGATGCAAGAGGTAAAAGGAGGACACTGAGGCCAGAAACAACCGGGAGCCCTGCTGAGGCTTAGGGGTATCTAGGGGGGAGCATGGTGGGAGGACTGGGGTACCGGGACTGCGCCAGGGCCTTCGACCGGAGCTACTCCACGCCCTCTGGAGACAGGGCCTTGCTCAGTCAGGACCTTCCCCGGGCTGGGCTCACTCCGATTCTCCTGCCTCAGCCTCAAAGACCGGGGACAGGTGTGCACCTCCACGCCCGCTAATGGTCTGCTTCCCGTCCCGTGAGCTCCTCACGCCCAGCCCTCACCTCTAAAGACACTGTGTCGCTGCCTGGCTGGAGGGTGGCTCAAGGCCCCCAGAGAGGACTGAAACCCCAGGTGGCACGGAGCCCTGTACACACCGTGTCCTCCCGCACATCCCTACCAGGGTGGGGTTTAGTCTGCAAAGCAAGAGGGCACAATGCAGGACTAACACTCGACCTGTGCAAAGAGCTTGAGTGTGTAAATGGCGTTCAGCTCCTGCCTGGGCCCGAGGGGAGCCCCGGGTGTGGACAGAGCTGGGCAGTCGTCCTGTTCGGGGCCAGCGTCCCGATGCCCCACGGTCCTTTTTTGAACCACGGGCACAGAGGGACAGCCCGGCCGGCCGGGGACCAGAAGCCACGGGATCCCGTCGCACAGGGCTTCTCATCGCCCGGCCGAAGTACCTGACCCCGGGGCCGGACGGGCGGGCTCCTTCTGGCTCCTGTGTGGGAAGCTCCAGTCCTTGCACGGTCCGCGGCCGGTGGGAGGGTCCGGCCTGGGGAGCTGCTCACCTCCCCGCAGCCAGGAGGCCGGGAACTCTACAGTGAGGGTAGCGACGGCTGGAGGGGGCTGGCAGGCGCACATCGCTCGGGGAGCAGCCCTCGGCCCCGGGCCCCGGCGCCCGCTCGCTCCTCTTCCTCTCCTGTCTGCCTCTCCCCTCCAGAGCAGCCGAGCCCTCGACGTCTGCTCTGACCTGTGTCGACTCCATCCGGAGAGAGTCACACGGCAGGCTGCACGCGGGGGGAGAGGAGCGCAGAGCCCTCGTCGCACGGCCCCTCGGCGGCGTCTCCTGGCGGCTTTCCGCGCAGTGCGCCTGGTCGTCTTCACTCCTTCAACCGTACTTCAGGCCGGAGGGGCGGGAACTCCGGCTGGGCCGGTGGGCTTCGAGGTGTCGGATGGTGAGGCCGCCCACGGTGAGACGACTGGGACCTGGGCCGGGGCCGGAGAGGCCTGAGGTGCGGCGCGGAAGAGACGAGGCCCGCTTTGTGTGGGGCACAGAAACGTGTAGCTTTCCGGAAGGAGGTGGGGCACAGACGGTGAGAGGTACGGCTGGAGTTCGAGACCCGGCCTGGGCCGTAGGGTGCGGCGCACACACATGTGGCTTCGCTTTTCTGGTACCGGGATCGAACTCAAGACCTTGCACTTTCGAGGCAGGTGTGGCGCCACTGAGCTACATCCCGGGCCCAACACGCACATGTCTTGAGGGGCGTTTGTGTAAAAAGGCTGTTTTTGGACTGAGGACTTCATACACCAACGACATTTTCATCCCATTTTCCCCCTGAAACCTCCTCTCTTGGAGCATGTGTGTTACCTACCCTTGCGTATTTGTCTTACTTCTAGTTACTCTAGTACACAGCTTTACATTCAAATAACTTCTCGTTAATATGCTGTTTTGTTTCCATCATACAGTCCTATTTTTCCTCGAGTGATCTTGCTGTTCTCTGTCTTTCCAGGATTTATACTTTCTTCTCTTCTGTTTCAGGGCTTGGTGGAGGGGGCAAAAGCCCCACAACAAACGGCCGTAGTGCTGATCGTGTGTGCGCTGTTCTTGTTCCTGGTATTGACGGGGATGCCTATGATGGTTCACATTTAATTGTCCCAGTAACTAACTGTTTTTCCTGATAGATGCTCTGTGTCAGGTTAAGGAAGTATCCTGGTTAAAAATCAGGAATGGGTTTTGAATATTACCCAATGCCTTTCAAACTTCCACAGAGATGATTTTTTTTTTTTTTTTTTTTTTTTTTGAGACAGGGTCTCACTATGTAGTTGAGACTGACCCGAAACTTGCTATGTAGCTCAGGCTGGTCGCAAACTCACAGCAATCCTCCTGCCTCAGCCTCCCGAGTGCTGGGATTACAGGCATGCGCCACCACACCTGGCTGAGATGATTTTTTAAAAAAATCTTTTTAGGATGAAGTTTTACATTACTGTATTTCATTACAATTAAGACATCATTGACTGTAGAACACATTATTTTATGTACCATTGAGAAAGAAAGATGCTTGTTTTAATTGTAAAATGCCACCTTCTAACTTCAGAGAAGGTGGAAAAATGTGCAATTTTGAATCAGCGAAATTTCATAGATTCACTATCAAACCATGTTTGCATTCTAAGGATTGTGTTGCACTGTCTTTTCATACACTGAATTATTTTTTCTTGATATTTCATGTGAGATTCTTGCCTCACACATCTTCGCATGTGAGATGGGTGCTATTCTTGTGAAGTTTTGGCACAGTGGATAAGCCTGCCTACAGGGACAGTGGAGCAGCTCTTACCCTGCCCTGTGTTTTGAATCATTTCCATAGCTTGAGAAGTGTCAAGGCCTTGCCATTTTGAAGGAATCCACCGATGAAATAATCAGATCCTGGAGTCACAGAAGGGAAATTTCAGCTCATTCTTAGGCAGCTTTCCGAGCTCTCCCCACGCGGCCGGTCTGTTGATACTTTTCACTGCTTGGATTCGTTTTGATGACTTGTGATGTTCTTTTTCCCCTAAGGAATTCTTAATTCGTAGTTTTTCAGATTATTATCTTATTATGTGCGCTATTTTAGAACTAAACAAAACCCTTCTCTTTCTCACGTCTGTGTCCATCACCACTTCTCTGTGTAGATTTCCCCTTATTATTTTTTCATTAAGTTTATGAAAACGGTGCAGTCACATTCATCACTGGGATCTTGGACCTTTACACGACAGATCTTGGTTCTCATTTTTTTCCCAGTCCCCTGCCCTCCCTTCACCCCCTCCACCCTTCCCTGTTTACAGAGACTTTGTTTCCATTTTTTCCTTTTCTCATATTTTTTCTTTTCGCATTACACATGATTCGACTTGTCAAAGAATTATATAATACTGTTTTGCCAAACAGCCAGTATTAAGATCTATTTACATCCATTATTTCTCTTAATTATAATAGTTTTCCTTTACTATCGATTGTTTACTTTTACTGTTTTTATTGTCTTCAGTTTTGAGTGCTCATGTAATCTTTATATTTGCAGTAATAGTGTACTTAGTTTAAAGGTGTTTCTGGACATGACCCTGGCCATACCTTACAGATTGAAAGTTTACATTCTTATGATTTTTTTGTAATGTTCTTAGTGCTTTAAAACTCAGTAATTCTGCTCATTATTTTATTTAAAAATAGTTTTGTTTTCTTTTTTCATAGCACTGTGAACAGAGAATGTGGCCTATAATATACCTGCTTTCAAAATATTTTAAAAAGCTTTTATTGTGTCCTGGAAAATACTGAATTTTTGTAACTGTCTCACAGACATCTAAGATGAGTATGTATTCTGTGTAGAAAACTCTGTCTTTTAATTAACTCAGTCTTATCAATTATATTGTTCAGAATCATGTTATTTAATGTTGGCTCACTGTACCTTCAAAAACCAATGATTTTATGAAAATGTTAGTATGATTGGTTTGGCAATGTATTTTTATAGTATTTGTGGTATGTATTCAGCGGCTGGGTAAGTTGCTGCAAATAAGTCCAGCACTGTTAGTCGTTACCTATCAAGTAACCTCTAAAATCTCCAAGCACAGTCCCCAT